ATGAGCGGGGGTGGGGCAGAGGGAGAGAGAATCTCAGGCAAACTCCCCACTGAGCATTGAGCCCCACACCTGGCTCAATCTCACGACCCTGAGATCATGACCTGAGCCAAAATCAAGAGTCAGACGCTCTTAACCTTAACCAACTGAGCCACTCAGGTGCCCTGACAAGTAGAGTAGCTAGCTTGTGAAAAGCAAGTTTTCTGCTTATTAGAAGTATGGAGAATCTGGATCTCTGTCAGGAATGCTGTGCTGCCTGAAGCTAAACGTTTTTCCTAGTTCTCTATTAATTCAGGATTAAGGTTATTTTTTTTTTTAAAGATTTTATTTGAGAGAGAGAATGAGACCATGAGAGAGGGGAGGGTCAGAGGGAGAAGCAGACTCCCCGCTGAGCAGGGAGCCCGACGCGGGACTCGATCCCGGGACTCCAGGATCATGACCCGAGCTGAAGGCAGTCGCTTAACCAACTGAGCCACCCAGGTGCCCCTATTAAGGTTACGTTTTACTCTCAGGTGCTTTATTAAATTGTATGTTATCAACTGAAGTTACCAGTGATGATTAAAAAAATACTGCATTTTGCTACATTTTTTTTTCAGTGTTGTGATAGGAATGAACTTAGATTGTTTAAGACTTATGCCGTATTCTTTTTTTTTTTTTTTAAAGATTTTATTTATTTGACAGACACAGCAAGAGAGGGAACACAAGCAGGGGGAGCGGGAGAAGGAGAAGCAGGTTTCCTGCCAAGCAGGGAGCCTGATGTGGGGCTCGATCCTAGAACCCTGGGACCATGACCTGAGCCGAAGGCAGACGCTTAACAACTGAGCCACCCAGGTGCCCCTTATGCCATATTCCTATCTTTGGGTAGGATAAACAAGCAAATAACTTATTAGCTGTAAGATAATAAATCAGTCACTTGGAATTTTTATGATGTAAAATATTTTTATTGCTGTTACTTGGGGCCATGACTGTATTGAAAATTAAGAGTTGATTGTTACTAAAAATGAAAAGGGCTAAATGCAAACAGTAGCAGTGATGTGTAGCTGACTGGGTGATCCAGAAGCAGAATAACACTGGAAGGGCATCCTTTATTTTTTCTGTGTTCTAGGTTTTAACCAACTCTTTTTAAGTGATTGACAAGAGTCAAGGCATACCTTCTTGTGAACATATATGATTGTAGCAGGAAACAGATTACAGAATCTGTGAAGTCCTATGAATATTCTAAAAAAATGGAACCAGAAAAATCAAGCAGCAGTTCACCTTTATGCTTTTAGAGAGGTCTAGCTGTAATAACTATTCTTGTCTAAGACCTTTGGCTTCAAATACTAAGCATAACCTAGATTTTCTTTTAAATAATTAAAGGTTCAAATAAAAAATCCTTTTAGACTATAAACATTTAACTTAGATTTTATAATTTTAATATATCACTACAAGTAAATAGCAATTTATGGTGTAGATATTACTATAGTATAGATATATGGTAGACATTGAAATACAGTTTTAACTATTGTCAAGACAAAATGAGATTTTCAGGAGAGTTTAATTTGAAATACTTTAATACCAAGGAAAATCTTGGTCTTAATTGCTCTCAAATAATATTTGAAATTTTTGAATAGATAATTGTGAAGGTTTAATTTTAAAAGGTGTGTAATCGGGCGCCTGGGTGGCTCAGTTGGTTAAGTGACTGCCTTCGGCTCGGTCATGATCCTGGAGTCCCGGGATCAAGTTCTGCATCAGGCTCCCTGCTCAGCGGGGAGTCTGCTTCTCCCTCTGACCCTCCCCCCTCTCATGCTCTCCCTCTCTCTCATTCTCTCTCAAATAAGTAAAATCTTTAAAACAAAATAAAAGGTGTGTAATCTTTTAAATAGCACTGGTTGGTTGAAGTGTACTGCATTGGTACTACCCCCTGAGAGGCTTCAAGCATAGGCAGGACAGAAGGAAAAAGGGCCTAAGTATTTTTCTTTTTGAAATGCAATATTTAAATGAACTTTCTGGGTGGGTGCATCCCAATCTGGAGATCACATTTTCATGAGACCCTATGGTTAACATTGGAGAGGCTATTTCTTATTTGATATAATGTTAACTTGTATTCTATCCCACTACTTAAGATAATTACAGTAATTTGAATTCACCTATCACCAGAAATTTAGGCTTGTGGCACAGGCTAATGGGGCTCTGCTGGGCAGTGGGCAAGATTGCTTTCTAGCCTTTGTCCAAACCAGCCCTCAGCCTCTCTCCTTCTTTATTCAGTGAAAAAGTATGCCTGGCATTGGGTGTAAAGATGTATAAACAATTCTTGGTGTTGGGGATCCAGAAGATAGCATGATGATTAACTATAATGTATTAGGAGTTTGGGAAAATGGAAAAATACATTTGGATGGCAAAACCAAATACCTATGAACAGCATTTGCAATTAAGCTAGGTGATGAACCTCTAAAGAGCAGATGGGGAAAACCACCAACCTGCCTGATACTGGTTTCTATGTGAAGAGAAGGAAGAATTGAGGTAGCTTCTGAAAGACTTGAGAAAAGCAGAATCTCAAATTAGTCAACTGAAACTTGGACTTTCGTCTTTTCCCTTGTGAATGCAAGGTATCCACAGTAAGGACTGGAGAGCCTGGAGCAGTTTACCCTAGTGAACTCTCAAAACAGACCTGTCAAGACAAAACTCCCTTTTAAGGACAGGATCCCCATACTGAGGAGAAAGTACTGAAAGTGGAATCACTGAACAGGATAGAGACAATAGTAGGGCCTGGGTCAAACTGGGGGAAGGGAACACAACCTGGATGATCTTACAAAGCAAGCCACCATATTTCTGAATGCTACTAAAAAACAACAGAAAAGGTAACTGTAAAGTTAAGCTTTCCTGAATCCTGCATCATTCTAAATGGCCAAAGAAATAATTTCATGTAAATGTGAGCAAGTGGAAAATAGTAATGTCAAATCTCACTAAAGGTTATCAAGATGGAGTATGTATGAAGGCTTGGAAAACATAAAATGGAGGAAAGATCTCTGAAGAATTAGGGTTAGGTTGTCAGCAAAGCATTCATGGAGGGTGTAGCATTTGACCTGGGCCCATCTTGCTTGCTACCTAAATCAATTGAATGTGAAGCTCTATTAATAGTGAAGGGTGAAGGCAGCTCTAGTGCTGGTAACTATTCTAATGTTCTCAAGGGAAGTGTTTTGGCCCTATTAGATGCTGTTTGATATCAGACTGGAAAGGGAGGAGGTTACAAGATCCACAAAAGGAAAAGACAAGGAACTTGAGAAAATTGTGACTGATTCCATGTAGGGTTGCTGATCTATTTGCCTTCTACGTTGTCCAGCAGCCCTCTCCTGGCTCCTACTTTCATCATCTAGTTTGGACTGTTGGGCTAGTCTGCCAGTTACTTAATTGCAAGTCATTTCTGTTGTTCATTCCCTCTCATCCCATATCCAGTTATTTTAGTCAAGTATTGATTGCCCACTGTATGTACTAGACACGCTAAGTGTTTATTTAATTTTTTTTAAGTTCGGGAACTCATGACCCCTCATGAGATGAAGAGTTGCAAACTCCACTGACAGCCAGGCCCGCGGCCCCCCCCCCCCCCCCATACTAGGCAGTCTTCTAAAGCACTACGGAAACAGCATGGGTCAAAACAAAGTACCTGTTCTGGAGTTTACATTCTAGTTTGGCGATAGAAGCAAGAATGTATGTGGTGATAAGTGCTAAAAAGAAAAGAGTGGAGAGAAATACTATTTAAAAAAAAAATCTCGGGGCGCCTGGGTGGCTCAGTCGCTACGCGTTTGCCTTCGGCTTGGGTCATGATCCCAGCGTCCTGGGATCGAGCCCTGCATCTGGCTCCCTGCTCAGCGGGAAGCCTGCTTCTCCCTCTCCCACTCCCCTTGCTTGTGTTCCCTCTCTCTGAAATAAAATCTTTAACCAAAAAAAAAAAAAAAAAAAAAAAA